TTGTGCCCAGTTCTTCCCAGCAAGTGCCCAAAAACTCCTCTTCCTCCCAGCAGCTCTTTGTCCCTAGCAGCCGCACCCCACCACTCCCCACCACCTCGGTTTGGCACATCAGCAGAACATTCTCCACTAGAATTCCCCTCCCCAAGAAGGAAACGAGCACAAAAAAGTCCGCCCAGCACCTTTGGCTGAGATTCTCAGGCCCAAAAATAGCCTGAGAGGCAGAAGGGTACATCCATTCCACACCAGGAGCCATTATCGGCTCCAAAAACCAGCAAAGCTCAGAGAGAGCATGTGGGCTAATGGTCGTTACCCAGCCATCGGCTTCCGAGCAGGCCGGGACAGTCCTGAGGAGCACGAGCTTCTTGTCGCAGCACCCTCAGCACTGGCACACAGGACTTGCAATGAGGAGACAGGCAGCTATCGGGGATCCCTCGGGGACAGGTATGCCAATTCCCCGTGCCCTGGGCACAGCAGGAGCGCCTCAGGGGAGAGACATGGCCCAAGGGCAGCCCAGCCATCGGCTTCCGAGCAGGCCGGGACAGTCCTGAGGAGCACGAGCTTCTTGTCGCAGCACCCTCAGCACTGGCACACAGGACTTGCAATGAGGAGACAGGCAGCTATCGGGGATCCCTCGGGGACAGGTATGCCAATTCCCCGTGCCCTGGGCACAGCAGGAGCGCCTCAGGGGAGAGACATGGCCCAAGGGCAGACGGGCGTGCAGACATGGGCACAGGGCTGCCCGGCTCCCTTCTGCCCCTCCTGACACCCCCTGCTCCAGCCCCTCCATGCATGGGGACCACGGTCTTCCCCTCTCTCCTGCACCACCCTGTCCCCAACCCCTCCCCACGGCCCCAGGCGGTGCTCTGGCACTCAAAGTGTGCCCAGCGGGACAAGCTGGTGCCGCAGGGCCAGCCTCGATGCACTCCAGCCACTGTCCCCAGCCCTGTCCGCTGTGGCCAGGCTCCAGGGACCTTCTTCTCTCTGTGCCCTGCTCCAGGCTGGGTTGGGTATTTAGATGGAAGGAGGGATGCTCTGGGGAGACAGAAATCCTTGCTCTGGGAAGCACATCAGGGGAGTCACACTGTACAGGGGCGAAGAGGGAGGGGTGGGCAGGGAGGCATTACTTGGTGCCCTCATCCGGGTTGCCTTCACCGTCTGTCTTCCCTTCCTCCTCCGTCTTCTGGTCATCTGTGTTCAGCCTCTGCTGCTTTTTCCGGCGCACGCATTTCACCACCATCAGCACCAGGATCACCACGGCCAAGAAGCCACCTACAGAGGCACCCACGATGACAGCCACTGTCGAGTCGTGCTTCGGGGGCTCTGGGGAGACAGGGCACAGCCTCAGGACATGCAGCCCCCAGCTGGGGCAGCCAGCGGGAGCAATAGGGAACGGGCTCGCTCCCACCGCCGGGGAGCAAACCTGCACATGCAACACAGGGTGAAGGCAGGGCACGAGGTGGAGCAGAGAGCCACACAGCACCCATGGGTGCCTGACAGCAGAGGGGCACTGACCTTTGGTGAGCACCTTCAGGCTGATGCTGGCATGGCCTCGGTGCCGGTCTGGTGGGTTCAGGACATAGCAATTGTAGGTGCCCTCGTCCTCCAGCTGCACGTTTTTGAGGGTAAAGGATACATCGTACTTGGTGGGGTTCCCAGTGAACTCCACCCGGTTCCCAAAGCGGTCCAGCTGCTTGTTCATGATCTTCGTCCGGAACTGCAGGAACTGAGCAGCCCGCGCGGGAGAGGAGGTGAGACACTGTTTGGGTCCCCGCACGCTCACCTCCCCTGGCCAGGCATCCCCCTCCCTGCATGCGTTGTCCCGGGCACGTGCCCACACTGCATGCTCGCCCCCGAGCAGGGCAGTGCCCGCTCAGCTCTGTCAGCGGCACGATCCCCGCTCAGCTCTGGCTGCCCCAGTGGCCAGGGACAGGGCCTGCTCACGCCTGCCTGTCCTGCTACATCAGGGCAGCTGCCCCGACCGCTGGGTCTTTACACGGTCAGTTGCTAATTGTCCCTGTGGCGGAGGAGGGCCAGATAGCAGGACCACACGTAAGGAGAAGGCTCGGGACCCCAAGAAACACACACAACAACTTCAAGCTGGTCCCAGGACCTCTCAGCAGACCCCCAGCCTCGGCAAGACTCACCAGCTCCTCAGAGCAGTTCCTGCACTCCTGGTATGTCCAGTTGAGGGAGAACTGCTTGTTCTCCACCTTATAGCAGGAGTTGAAGGTGCAGGAGAGCTTCACGGAGGAGCCATTCAAGGCATTGATGGTGGCGGGAGCCATGACCTCCATGCCCAATCCTGTGGGAGCTGCCACAAACACAGAGAGCGAGAGCAGACACACAGATGAGTTAGAACAGGGGCACAAGCAGCCATCCTGCTGCCTGGGCCCGTCTCCCTATCCCGCCCCGCACATTGGCTGGCTGCAGAGGGCTCACCCTGGGGCCTGGGATCGCCTTTCAGGCACGTCCACGCACAGACCACACTGTGGTCAGCCAGGACCGGGGTTTCGCTGCACAGAAGTGACAGGGGACAAGCAGGGAGCAGCCCCAGCCCTGGCACCACCCCTTGGCCCTGCTCTGCAAGGGCTGATGCCCCCTCTCTACCGTGCCTAGCCTGATTGTGCCTGGTGCTAAATTCTGCTGACTCCAGGCAAGCCCTGTTCCTTGCCGCTTAAACGAGGCTTTCCTGCTGCAGAATCGATAACACTATGCAAAGGGCTGAATGCAGCATCAGCATGCAGGGCTCAGTGCCACATCCGCAGAGAAATTTATGGCTGCGCTCATCAGATTTCATTCCCAGCAGGATGCACTACAGCGGCAAGGGCTGGGATCTGCCAGGGCCAGCCCCTGGGGGCTGCAGGGGGAATGCAGATGCTCCCCCCTCCGGGTGGTGTTCACTCGAGGATTCTCCAGCTGGGAATGACTGGGTCAAGATCTCAGTCACTCCTGGGGGGACCAGGCCAGTCCCTGCACCCTGGCCTTGCTGTGGCAGAGAAACGGGGACATTACCTGGTGCAGCTCGCAGGGCAGGATGGCTCACCTGGGGCATGGGCAGGATGATGTCTGTGCCCTGCTCCCTATTCCACTCTTTTTCTGCACCTCCCCTAGTCTGCTGGCTGCCCCCAGCAGCTCCTGAAACCCAACGCCCCCATCCAGCACCTTCTCCCCAGCCTGCAAAGGGGAGGGTGCACATGCCGAGACAGGCTCCTGTGCAGCTATTTAGCTTCAAAGTCTAAGGATAAGCCCCAAGAAGCACAGGGACAGAGAGCCCTGGAAGGACTGCTGGGACAAGGCTGTAAAGGGAGGCTGTGGCACCCCACAGGGCAGGGACGGTGACACTGGCAGCAGGTGCTTTTCCGGTCACCTCACCTCTCCCCTTTGGCTGCTGCTCTTTGCTCTCAAATCTTCCTCCTGAGGTGCTCCTGACTCCAGCCCTATGGCCAAGCTGGATGCATGACAAGGCAGCTCCGCTGACTAATCCGCTCCATCTGCAAGCAGGGCAGGAAAGGGACCAGGCTCTGCAGCCAGGGAAAAGAGGCTTTTCCACGTTGCAGATACGGCTGCTTCAAGCCACAGGTCTTACTGTGAGGTGCAAACCAGCAGCATCCTGAAACCAGCTCTCTGGGGGCAGAGGGGTGCCCTCCAGGTATGGCCAAGC